GATGAATGAATGGATGATTGGATGTTTTGGACCACACGGTGCAGTGATTGGCTCAGTGGTCATCAGTGCTGTTGGTTCACTGGTTTACTCTCTGAGACAGAGATTCAAATTAAACTGTCGGATTAAGGACACCATGGTTTAAACCTGTACCTGAATGAGTGTGCGGGAGGAGACACACACATTGTTTTTGTGCGTGTCACTGACATGTGTCCACGGCGCACCTGTCATGTTTCCTCTCCCTGCACAAAGGTGAAACACTGGGTAAATATACACAACATTTTGCTGTCCTCCCCATGTACAGCATACAAAAACACAGGAGACGGCAGAAGAGCAAACACCGTAGCGGAAATTACACTGAGCCACCGTGACGGACTGTTGTTGACCCAGGGTTTTGTCTGACATCTGGGAGGGTTGTTTTATAGAGTGATAAAAGATGAGCTTTTGTGAATCATAGTTCAGTGGAAGGCAGCATTAAACGCAGTATTGAACAATGGTGTAACGTCTACTGCCACCTGCAGTCCATTTCCGGGCCTTCACTTCTGCAATATAGAGGTCACATCCACTTTTTATAAACTGTTCATGTCGGCCATACCGTTTGCCTGGGTAACTTTTGGAAATGCTCAGTGTCCAGACTCAGTCTCATATACTACAGTAATACTGTACTGTAATACTCCGCTGGTACTCAGGTCATAGCGTGATGATACTAACTGACGAATTAGAGTTTCTGTTTGTGAGGCAAGAAAAAAAGTGTTCAGGAAATGTGCAGAAAATTGCCTTGGGAAGCACGATGTGTGTGTTCATTATTTTAATCCTGATATATTCATTAGGCCTCGTCAGAAGATTAAGGATTATTCTAATTAATTACATGCTCGTTAATGATTAATCTGAGTTAATCCGTGGGCTGGTTGTAGCTGGTGAATGTATGTGACATTAGTGAAGATATAAGGAAGTAATGGTTACAAATGTTTTATGACTGGATATAAATGTGTCAATGAAACATCAGGGTTATTACACTACAGACATTGTGTGATTAATGAGTCTTACTGGATTGGTGAATTGGTAATGTGATATATTTAAGATAAAAAAGTTCAGTGTCCTGTTCCTGCCCAATATAAAAAAGTTCAGTGTCCTGTTCCTGCTGCCTGTACAAACCTGTCAACATGTAAAAGTAATATTTGAGTTGAAACTTGACTTTCTTGTCTACTGTTTGGATATAAACATGTTAACTTGACTTTGTTGTCTACTGTTTGGATATAAACATGTTAAAAAACAAATTTAAACATAGACAATGAATACAGAGAGACAATAGAACTGGAGCCATGTTGTATAATGTTTAACTTCATCAGGACAAACATTGATTATTTGCTCATATTTTAGGCTAAGTCAAGTGATTTAGCTTTAGCCACTTCGGGGCTAAGGTGAAGTTAACATTTGGCCTAGGTTTAGTTGTAGCTTTGCTAGTTTTAAATAAAATGTTTTAATTTCTATTAAACGCTGTTAATACAAATCTTACATTCAGTTATTGTTTGATGTTTTAAATGACTTAGCTACATACCAGAGTCTGATTTATCTTTAGCCACTTTAGCCAGAGGCTGTCCTCTGCCTGTCCTCTGGCTATTTCTTTGGATGTTGTTCAGCTATTATTCAACAGTTTAATTTTCTTCCAACTTATCTTTGAAGATATTTGACTGTCTGGCGTGTCAGGACAATTTTTTTCAGCTATTTCAAAATCATCTCACCCTCAGCTCCTGCTCTGCAGCACTGTCTGGATATAAAAAGATTCTTGTACACATTTCAGGAATTTCTCCGACTCACTCCCAAGTTATTTAGTTTTCCTGGGAAGCCATAACCTCCACCTCACCTTTGACTGACATGTATGCTCTCTGCCTACACGTGTTAAACTTTTTTTTTCTTCATGGTTGCTGTCCAAAATCAGATTTATAGGGACACGTTACATATTTCTGCCAACATATTTGTAGAGATGTTTCAGCTCTGACAAAGTAGTGTGCAGTAGACATAGTCAAACACAGTTAAAGTGCCAAAGTCAGTGGAGTTTAAATAAAAACATCCGCAATTAACACAACCAAAACACCTGCTTATTAGCTTTCACGCTGGAAAAGCACGAACAAAGTATTATTACTAGATATTCACGCTGCCTGTTTGGCATAAAGATGTGTATCTTCACATCTTTTAATGTCTTTTAGTCCCAGCAGAAGGAAGATTACATATGAAATAAAAGATTATTTCAATCGAACGATTTTTAAAATTGTCCATCAAAGTACAAATTCATCTATTTAAAACCAGAGTTGAAGACTCAAAGCTTCAAGCTTTAAATGGCAGGTTATATTAAACGTGGTTCTGCCTGTTTTGTTAATATCCGCAGTAAAAAGAAGCAGAGTTGATAATTAGCCGTACTCCTGCGTTCTTTTGACAGCCCGTCCTCTTTTAACGAGCTGGTGGTCCAGTGCTGACCTTGTGGTGTCCAACAGACCGCCCTGATCAGACCTTGTGGTGTCCAACAGACCGCCCTATTGTTCTGAGGCCCAGGCTGCTGACCATATCTAATCAAATGGTTCCTCCTCCTTTTTGGCACAGAGAGAGAACACCAAGGCCAAACGTGTCTGACCTTTTAACTTCCTTCAACAGAGTCAATAGGAATTTCTTCTTTTTTTAAAAAATCCACAGCCTGTAAAACATGAAGAAAAAAAATCTATATGCACAGACAGGCTTTAACCATAAATTTTTATATATATATTTCTGTCTGTTACTACAAGATTGTTGTGGGAAATAAATTCGTTTTTTTTTTCACTGAAACCTTTTTTGTGGGAAAAACAACTTTCTTCCCAGAAACACGGTGCCGGCTGGTGTTGATAGTCCACAGATCTCACTGTGAGCTGCTGTGATTGGAACATTTTTAAACACTCCCCGTGAAAACTTGAACCCGACTTCAGTCCACATCATTGAGTCTGTGCGTGCAGCAGAATGGGACTGAGCCACAGTAATTTCACTCATTTAAAGTTTCACTCTTTGTTTTTGCATCTGTCAGAGTATTCAGTTACCATGCAACATGAAATGTTCATTCATTTGTCATCCGGCCCTTAATCCTTTTTCAGGGTCGTAGGGGGAGGGAGAGTGAGGGGGGATCCTACGGGAAGAGGGAGGGCTAGAATCTTCATTCTCATCATATTCCCATTGGAACCTGCTGGTATCGAACCCCCGACCCTTCTGGTGGAAGGCGGGTGTCCTAACACTACACTGCAGATGGCACATGGAAAATTAAAGAAAAAACTGATATTAAAATTCATTTGCTTCCCTTAAGTAATAGCCTAGCGCCCTCTTGGGGGTCCTGTCCCCCACTTTGGGAACCACTGCTGTAATGTTGTCCGCTGTGCAGCCCCAACATCTGACATTTACAGTATAAATGCAAGACAAATGAAGCAGGACTAACACTGTTTAAATAAGACTACAGTGTTATCTTCTACATTCTAGACACCGGTGCAGTGTGTACATCTGTGTACATCTGTGTACATCTGTGTACATCTGCGTACATCTGTGTACATCTGTGTACATCTGTGTATCTGAAAGCCATCAGTATACGCTGCGCTCTCAGACACTGGAGATAATGTGTTTCTTCCCCCCAGCCTCCACTGATGAATGTTTACAGGAAGTGGCAGTGTTTAAATCAATGAGCTAACGAGACAGTGTGGTGTGTGTTCTGTTAACACTCGACCAGCAGGGGTTTTAACGTAAGGGATTCAATAAAAAAAAAAATGTTTTAAAGAGTAAAGAAGCTAAATCCAGTTTTATTCTGTAACTTGGTTTGACTTCCATTGCTGTCAGATAGAGTAAAAAAAATGAAGAAAGAAAATTATTTTTTCAAAAGAAAGAAAAAATTAAATTCTATGCCATATGTTTAAGCTTGTTTAAGCTAAATAAAAATTAATTATTTAATTAAAAATAAAATGTATCTTGTATTAACCAACACCTTAAAATATGGATAATAAAAAAACAACATTTTTGTACATATGCTAAAGTATATAAGATGAAGAGTCAAAGCCTAAAAAGCCCTGGCTGTGTCCAAAGGGAGAATAAAAAGCCCACTCATTTATACGTTGCTGTTGTGAATTGTTTTAAATCATTTCATTATTGGTTTTCTCTGACCCCAGCCGTCCTCTCAGGTCAGATTAATCAGTCCAACCTGCCTTTGTGACCCAGTTCAGACGTTGGACACCATGTCATTAGACCAACCAGTCACTGTTGCCCGTGCTCTGCCTAATTGCATCCTTAATTGATTTTCCCCCACCAAAGCCTGTGCTTTGATGCTGTCAGTTATAATGACAGTAAACAGCTGCGAGGCTTCACATAAATACCTCCTTTAACTGCATTAGGTCAGTGCTGTACACTTCCTTCATGTAATTTCAGACTTTCTTTCTCCCCGCAGCAGACGTATGTGTCCCCCTCCAACCATCAGATGGCTCCTCCAAGCCCCAACAACAACAACAGCAGCAGCAGCAGCCGCAGCAACCACATCAGCAATGGCA